TTAGCCAAAACTCTGAAGGTATTTCACTTCATTTTATTATTAAAAGAGATGGACTAGATTTTGATTTAGAGAAAAGATATTGAATATCGTATATTCAGTTGTTACTACTATTTAATAATATTCTTATCGTTGTTGGTTCATGTTGAAATCGTGCAAGATTTTAAAGAGGAATTAGTGAAAAGATGTTAAATATTGGTAGTGTTTGCTAATAGTAATAGTAATACTAATTAGTAGAGAAACATTGTCGTGGATTATATTTCAAGAGATATTGAGACATTATGATCTTTTCTTTTCTTTATAACAGATGTTAAGGTACAAATTTCGTTTTAATTCTTTTTAAGTGAAGCACTGTACATAGGTCTTTTTTTAAAATTATTATTATTATTATTACTATTATTATTATTATTATTATTATTATTATTATTATTATTATAGTGTTTTATGCTTTTTGCTTTTTTTGTTCTTTTAGTTTTGTTTTTTGTTCATAAAATCAAGTTTTCTTTTGGCCGGGCGTAAACAGCTGGGGACAAACTAAAGCGGATTATCTCTCGGCATGCACGCGCTATGCTGTCTCAGGAGACTTATATTTCAGTCACCTTAATTAAAACTGTGGAATAAGCAACACAGGAAATTTCCTTGAGCAAAATGAATTCCAGTCGGGATGTGCAATTGCTATGGCAAAGGACTTTTATTGAAGGTTTTGAAGTAAGGAGTAATTATTTTATATCAAACTTTAAAGGGTGGATCTCCACTTTCTTTTAAGTTTTAGGTGCGTAAAGGTGATGTTACACCAGACGATTCGCAACGACGATTTTTAGCGTAACTAACGTTGCATCATTTTTGCGATATTGTTTCGAATGGTTGCAATGTTGTTCCAATATTTGAACGGTGTGTTGCACTAAAAACGTCGTTGCGTATCGTCCCGTGTAACATCACCTTAAGCAAGAAAATTTACACTTGTCAATAAGATAGAGACGATGTATGACGCGTCGCGTGTAAACGTAAAAGTTGAGCGATTTTCAACATTTACATATACGCTCAATCATTCATACTTTGCCTCCATTCTATTTAAGTGGGTAATTTTTTCGTGTGTACCCGTTAGGGTGGATTTCCACTGCCGCGTAATTCTTACATGCTTATAATTATAACGCACGTAAATTTTACGCGCCTAAATAATTACACTGCCAAAACATAAAAGTTAGCTAGATCTTGTTCAACTTTCAGGTTTACGCGCGACCTTCCATACATCGCTTCTATTCACAAGCGTAACAGTTACGTGTTTACGTAATTAAAATGTACCCGACAGTAGAAATCCATGCACCTATAGGCTTTCGAAAAGCAACTTTCTGATGACTACGTTATTGCTACGTAAAGGTGGATTTCCAATGTCGCGGAATTTCTACGAGCATACGTACGTACGTAAATTCTCCGGATGCTTTAAAAGGACATCTGAGTTTGACTTGAAAATCAGAGTTTCCGAGGATGAGTTTGTTTTAGAGAATTGGAATTTGTTTTGCAGAATCGGAGTTTGAAAATCGGAGTTATTTTCGAAAAGCGGAGTTTCGGAAGAAATCGGAGTTTCACTTGAAAGGTTATGCGCCTCTTCTGTTACGTTGGGTCGACCGGAAGAAGAGGAGTTTGGAGGATTCTCGCTTAGGTAGCTCAATTCATATCATAAATAAAAGAAATAAGGGCAGATATGGCGGAAAGGTTTAAGTGAAATAAAAGTGCCTACTGTTAAGTGTTTTATAATTACTCTCTAGGTCGATCGACCGACGTGGCAGAAAAAAAACGCACAGCCTCGATCCTTGGACGAAAGTTTAAGTGAAACTCTGATTTTCGAAAATAAATTCCGACTTTGAAACTCCGATTTTTGCAAAACGCAGATTTTAAAAAAAACTCTCAAAAACTCCAATGTTTAAAAGCAAATAGCCTCTGATTTTCGAAAAAGAAATTCCAATTTTCACAAACAAACTCCAATTTGCAAGAAGAGTTAACGTTGATTTTCAAGTCAAACTCAAATGTTCCTTTAAAGCTAAGTAAAAATTCTAGGAGGCGTAAATAAAATAGAGGCAATGAAATTTCTTACGTTCATGCGCGACCTTTCATAACATTGCCTCCATTTTAAAATTACACAAGGGCAAGCGAATTAATCCAAGCGAATTTGTCTCCTGATATCAAATGTATGCGAATGATTAAGATAATCGAACTTTGCAGATTCTAGTAATAGAAAAAACATACAATATAGGAAGTTGTGAGGGAGGAACGTGTGATTCATTGTGAGAGTTTTTTAAAATAAAATAATTGTAATAATAATAAATGTCTTTACTTAACTTATGATAATGCATGTACGTCTCTTATGTTACACAATCTGAAAGTCAAATTATAGTAGAAAGCACAAAAAGTAACAAACCCAAATAAAAATAAAAGATACACCTATTCATAAAGGATGATTTAAAACGATCAGTATTCACTCTTGGATACAAGGGCGTTACATCCCTAAGTTTCGGTAGTTGGTGGTAGCGTATTTAAAGTGGAGTTCCAACTGCGGGCCTTTTTTAGAAATTTGCAAATCTGTCTTTTTAAAGTTTCGGAGGATTAGTGAGAGTCTATGAGAAAAGAGATTGATAATAAAAGAAGTTCTTGAGAGAGTGCTGGCGACTTATTTTGATCAAAAGAGGATATAGCTCATCCTCTCTTGTTTCGATGCAATTCCGGATATAGGGAATTGGAGAGTATTTATTTTTAACTTCACTGTACCAAGAGAAAGTCAATTAACTGTAAGCCATAACTCACTTACAGAGGGGATATCCGTCTTTTATTTGCTTCACAACTTTAATTTCTTTCTTTAGCAATTTCAAAAATTAAAGTCCAAGGCGGTACAATTCTACTCGTACAACAAAAATACGAATTGCAAGTACAACTTAATTTACAAATCTGCTGGCCCTACAGGATCTTCCTCGTGAAAAATATATTTATCTTTAAAAAGATTTAAAGCAAATTTTTATCTTAGAATAATCACGGATTTTATGTGATATTCAGTTAAATCAGATTCATTACCTGCGTTAGCGGATTATTTAAAGATTTTTTTAAAAGATTGTCAAGAATACCCCATCAAACAAAGCGTCCTGGTATGATGGAGTATCTGCTAGAGTGCTTAAAGACAGTCTACCGGCCACCCTCCCTGTCATTACTAATCTAATTAATTCTTCGTTCGCATCGAATTTCTTTGCACAAGCGTGGAAGTCCGCGGTGGTCATCGCAAACCTCAAGTCCTTCGATCCTTATGAGTCCGAAAACACCCGCCCTATATCCCTTCTACCTTTAATGTCAAAGATACTGAGAGGGCTGCTGGCCACACGCAGTTTATGGACTTCTTGAATAAAGATAGCAAGATATCTGGCTTACAGAGTGGAAATAGAAAGTTCCACTTCACTGAAACCGCCTTACTACATTACACGGACCAGCTCCTTAAGAATATGGATGAAAAACGTATATCGGTTGTTGTGCTGCTCGACATGTCTAAAGCTTTCGACAGCATTCAACATGACAACTTATTATCAAAACTGCACTTACTGGGTGTGTCGGCCTCCGCTCTTGCCTGGTTTAAGAGTTACCTATCATTACGCAAGCAGGTGGTCAGGATGGGCAGTGACCTATCCGACCCCCTCCCACTGACAGTGGGTGTGGCCCATGGGTCCATTCTCGGTCCAGTTTTGTTCACGTTATACGTCAACAACCTTCTCCCTGTACCGAAGAAGTACGAAGTCATGGGCTATGTAGACGACACCAAACTGCTTTTGACTCTTCTCCCGTGTGAAATCAGCGTTGCCATTTCTGACCTCAATAGTGATCTCCGCGAGATCGCAAAGTGGTGTTCAACAAACTCTCTGTTAATTAACCCAAACAAAACTAAGTTCCTCGTTGTTGGCAATCCACAGCTAACTCGAAACGTATCTTTTCCTCCGGTCTTTCTGTTGGGGAAGAACATCAAGCCCTCTCCTGTTGTAAAAAACTTGAGGGTTCTGGATCGACTCCACCGTAACTTTCGACGACCATGTATCTAAACTGTCCTCGAGCTGCCTGTATAATCTACGTCGTATCAATAGAATTAAACATCATTTGGACAACACGTTCTTTAATTATCAAGGCTCTTATTTTTAGCAGGCTGTTTTTTGTTCTAGCCTATGGGATAATACCTCCAGCAAAAACGTTTCTAAGATTCAACTTATCCAGAACTTTGCTTGCCGAATAATCCTAGGTATCAAAAAATTTGATCATGTCTCTGCTGCGCGCTAATCCCTTGGTTGGCTAAGCGTCCGTCAAAAACTTCTATTAAATACTGTTACTATGGTTCAATAGTGTAGGAAAAATCAGGCACTACTTTATCTTTGCAATTTATTTCATGATAGATTTCGTGTGTCAGGACGCAGTTCTAAAAACATGTCACAGTTGAATCTACCTAAATGCAGATTATCAACTGGTCAACGCTCTTTCGCCTTTCGTGGGGCAAAAGAATACAACCTACTCCCAGAAAACATTCGAAACTTGAACAATATCTCAAGTTTTAAAAGGAAAGTCGCCGCCTACTTTCTTGGAAACTCTTCTTAAATAGATTGAATCACATTTTTCATGACTGTATATAAACTCATGTAAATATTTCTTGTTGTAACAGATATAAATATTTTTGCCCCATTGTAATTTTATCATTGTAAATGTTATTATTGTATATTACGTCAGAATAGACCCGTATAGAGGAGTCGTAATAAAGTGTATGCAGTATGTAATATGTAGGTAAAAAGGAGGCCTGGAATTCAAAGTGATTTTCCAATCAAATAACCTAACATGTTTATGAGTATTGGAGATGTACTGAGAGTGACACAAAAGCTAACTTCCGCAAAGATGATAATTTATTACCTTAATTACCTAGCAACCTCCAATTTACACTAATACTTACCAAATAATATTTTTTTTAGGTTATCATCCCAGTGCGTTATAGTATGGCCGCAGCCAGTGTGATCGCTTTCTTCTCTACTGCCGTATTCCTCGGAAATGTCGCTTTCAGTGCGACAGGATTTGCAATGGCAATTGTTTTCCTCTTCCTATATCAGATTGGTTCATTAGTGTGGCTTGATTGTTGTAACATTAGATACGCTGTTTTTATACAAACAATTGGTTTCGTTGTCATACTCCCAATCACACTATGGCGTTCTAATCTAAGAGATAACATTCGTGCCGAGTTACTGGTTGCGTTTGTTCCAATCACATTTGCAGGAACACCGCTTGGTCAATACTTGCAAGATTTCACTCCGGTAGGGGCTTTAAAGGTTCTGATTGGCTCCCTGACGATACTAGTTGCAGCCTGGCAGATTCATGAGTACTGCAAGAAAAGAAGGAAAGAAAAGCGACTTGAAAAGAACAAAGAATCGAAAGTGGTCGAAGACAACGTTTTGACAGCTCTTGTGCAGGAGGAGAGACCGCCTGTTTTCTTCTTGATTGGAAGTCAACGGTCGGGCAGCAATTGGCTTCACACTATGATCTCGGAAAGCAAAGTTATAGCAACACCCCACCCTCCTCATATCTTGAAAAGTTTTATGCCCATCTTAGACAAGTTTGGCGATCTTTTCCAAGAAGATAATATGCGCGCATTAGTCGATCACGTGTGCGAGTTCGTGGAAAAGAATCCCGTTCCATGGGTGGACATTAACGAGGAGCGGATCATTTTTGATCGAGAGCAAGTCTTCCAGTGTTGTAAAGGAAGCACTGTACCGCTTGTTGCAGTATTTGAAGCCATCATGGATGTGTTTACAGTCCGTAACGAGTGTAACACGTGGATGTGCAAGTCAATGAGCTATGGCAAGTTCCACGAGCAGCTGTCTATGCACTTTGGATCCAGGCTTCGTTATGTTTACTTACATCGTGATCCTAGGGATGTTTGCCTTTCGTTCTCAAAGGCACCAGTCGGTGAGGCACACTATTACGTCATTGCTGAGACCTGGCGAGATTTACAAGAGATTGCCATTGATTTACACAACTCGGTGCCGGAGGGAACCATCCACCAGTTGAGCTACGAAGCACTTCTCTCGGACAAACAAGAAACTTTGGATTCCCTTTTCCAATTTCTTGATATCAGAAACAAAGAGCAGCTTTATGGGCAGATAATTAGCAGGGAGGCGTATCGTAGGGCTTCCAAGTCATCCCTTTGGAGAAACCTTGTGCGTGGTAAAAGCCTAAGTGAAATCCAAAAAGACAAATGGAAAAGATCAGAAGATTTGACCGATGACGATGTGAAGATAATTGAGGCACAGTGCAGCCATGTCATGAATATTCTAGGATATGAACTTGAGTATACCGATCAACTTCCCAAGTTCAGTGAAGAGGAGATTGCTGAGTTTCGGCGACTTAACGAGGAAGGAAAAGCTGCAAAGAAGGCATCCCTTCACGAAACAGACCCAGAGGATCATAAACGTCGCATGTTACAAGCGTCGGTTCTTGAAAAGAATGTCGTGTTCCCTGAGAAGCGTGAAGCCGAATCATTCTGGCATGAAGTCAAGAATCAGTTATGGCCTCTCCGCCCTGTTTTCTTTTGGATGCTTCTTGCTGGTTTTGCAAGTGGCTTCTTAGGCGGGTTAATCGGTGTGCGTGGTCCACCCCTTATTATTTTCTTCTTTTTCTTCGAATATCCTAAGAGTCAGATCAAGGCAAATGGAACAATTGTTGCCACCATCAACGTTGTAATTCGTGTGGTCACTTACATTGTAAGATCACCACCAGCCTCGTATCCAAGCAAAAACTGGTTCACAGAGGAGGATAAATATTTGTATATTTTTGTCTCTATCATTGGTGTGTTAGGGGCACCGGTTTGGCTTTGGCTGTCGAAACATATCAATCAAACACGCTTCAAGATGATTTTAGCGTGTATCTTAATCATTAATGGCGTTACCATGATTGTAACAGGTTCTTTCGATTTGTAAAAATTTTCCTTGCAATATACTCTCGATTTAGAAACTTTGTCAATTGACAATAATAAACAATGTAAACGATAAGACCGAAAAGCTTTTTGGAAAGAATCACAGGGCTCAATCATTTTCTCAAGTATCACACTAATATAACAGTGGTTTTGTTGCTGACGATGTTCTTTATAAAGAAATTTCTGAAGAAAAATCTGCTCAAAGGTGAAGCTGTCTGCTTTCTCTCCCACCAAGAAACTGAAAACCATTGTTGGAATGCATCGGCACAAAAAGCTCGTGGTACTGTTCTATCTTCGCACGTTTATTCGATCGGGTATATCAGATCACTAACTAATTGAGCATGTCTTCTTGTACTTGTTAACATTATAACGTAAATAAATGAGGTTTTGTTCGTGTTTCATCTTATGTAAGGGAATCCAAGACAGTCTGGATTACGGATTCGTCACCGTGGATTCCAGATTCTTTGTCAGTGAAACTTGGATCCCGGATTCCAATTGTTACTGGGATTCTGGATTCCTTGAGCTGTTTTCTGCATTTCAAAGTCCAGGGTTCCGGATTCCACAAGCAAAACTTTCCTGGATTCAGGATTCTAGAAGCAAAAATTACCTAGATTCAGGATTTCACAAGTAAAAATTTCCTGGATTCAGGATTCTGGAAGCAAAAATTTTCTCGGATTTCTTTATATGGGGGGACGTGTTACATGATTGGCATCATGACGAGTTCGATGAGGTGTTTCAAATGTTTGATTGTAAATTACCACAATTATAATAGTGTTTTTTTTCAATTTATCATAACTGGGTACCGAGGAGTAGCATCAACAAATAATTAAACGAGTAGATATACCTAAAGACAAACGGGAGAAAACAGATATGTACAGGAACAGTTAGTTAGAATATTGTGTGTAGTTACCGTTTATCGTTATTTTTTTTCTTTCGCTGATGCGTTTGTATCAATTGTGTCCGATTTCAGTGAGTACGAAAGTAGTTGGAATAAAATGTTAAAAATTTGCATTGCTTTGCGCCGCCCTTAGTCTCAACAGGTCCTCCCCCTTTCCCGTAAATTAAAAAAGTTCATTTTGACAAAATTGGGAGAACTTAATTGTATTCACGAAGGAAGAAATTATTAAAAGAAACGACAGCCATCCCAAATGATCAGTGTTGTCGGTGTAAGAAGAGCGGCCGTTACATATCACGTGTGACACCACACGGCGTCGAACAGTTTGGATGGCCTGCCTGTGCTCTGAAAAGTGTGGAGCAAGGTTTTCCAGCATCGATGGCATTTAGGCACCCGATATTCTGTGAAAAATTGCGCTAATAACAGACTCTTCAAAAGGCATTAAGATAAATGCATTGAATTAAAAGGATTTATGTTGGTTTCGAGCCGTTCTTTATTTCCAAGTTCGAAACGTGCAATAGCCAATTTCGATATGTTTTAACATGAAAGACTGGTGACGAATCTCGGACGCCAAAGCGAGGCTCTGGGGAGCACAGAGCGAAATAATAATAAATAATAATAATAATAATAATAATAATAATAATAATAAAAAACCATCAGTGAGAAGAACGCCAGGTGTTTCGGTAATTCCTACGAACCTCAGCGAATTGTTAGCTCTTTTGAAGAAAATTTCGTTTCCTGTCGTGGTCAAGTATTGACGGTCTGAATGGGGTTAACTGTCAACTGACAAATGGCCAAAATAATTTAATCAACTGGCTACTGACATTTGCCTTGGGTTTTACTGACATCTGACAAATTATAGGACGGGATTGTCCCTTGTTTTCTACAAAACCCGTTTTTAAGGCCTTAAATATCATTGTTCCACTCTTTTCGACGGTCAATGTGATCAAATGTGCGTTTTTTGGGTAATCTTAGCAACAAGACGTTTAAGTGTCATATTTCGTTAGTGATTTACTGCACAACCCATGTGTGTCATGTACCAGCTGTTGTAAATTACTTATGATCTCAAATTTACGCCCCTCTGAGAACGCGCCAGCATACGATGCTGCCAATGAGGGTGTTAGTTAAGCTCTAAGTGGGGCACAGGGCGATTAGAAAGCAAGAAATTAAAACCTGCCTTTTTACAGGCTTAATTTGTTCCTTTCCATAGCGATATGCAGGTTTCGATTGGAATGAATTTGCCGAAACCCAAACAAAACATGGATTTAGCCTCAAGTTGTAAAGAAGTAACGATTCCATAGAGCGTTTTAATTTTACTCTCTTGGCCACTCCCTATGCAAATTTATCGCGGCAAAAGATTGTTTACATAAGAAATTGGACCAACTCCCACAAGGATTGATTAGTTGCTACGAAATCTCCACCTCTTCGTTGTCTTGGCACACCAATATGGTCAGTTCCTGACATCAGGTGAAAACGTATGATTTAAAATCTGCTGGTTGAGTTTTACTTTGCATTTCAAGAAACGTTCCACCTGCATGCACATTTTCATCCCTTGTGGTGTATTGCAAGAAAGGACATTTTACGTTTGTCAATTTAGCCTTTCAAAGTAAGGTAAGTCCTAATCTAGCTGATTATAACCTCTTCTTATTAAGATTCATTGCTCTTGATTCGCTCTCATCACTTTTCAGGATACCTGTAAGATAATTTAAAAGATGGCTCTCGACACTTGTGATTAAGGGTGCATTAAAGTAAACGAATCAGTTCCTGACTGCACGTCAAGATTGTTACAAATAAATTGTTTCATATCGAAATATAATCATTTTTGTTCATGAAATCCATAATAGAAATAATTATTCCGGAATTACTTTTGTCTTAGTCGAATGTGTGATTATTTTCAGTTTACAACGAATGTTATAATCGATACAACCCGACGCGATTAATCCCTTCTGCTTTTATTTTCATTTGAATGACTTACATTTGGGGTCGTGTAGTCAAGCTCAAGAAAATAGTGAAAAAAATGCAATCTCTTCTATCGGCATTATGTATGTAGTCATTGAAATATTTTCGACTGATTTTTGTCAAACCTTGAACATGAACTTTATTTTAGTTTTATCAGCCAATAGTTAAAAAAGACCAAAACATGGGCTTACGGTTTCACCGCCAAAGATAACCCTACAAAGGGAAAGACACTCCGCAGTTTCTGATCCTGAAGTTATAGAAAACTACTTTTCAGCAATCTCTCTGAGGCTTCAGCAGGGAATGCGTTGCATGCTTCTATAAAACAACCAAGAGCAGGCAGCGCTTATGTTGATAAACCGAAGAAGCAATTTATTATGTTCTTGTTCGTTCCATAATTTGGCTCGGTTCAGACACCTTGCCGTTCACATAGCGGAATCAAATCCGAGTTTAGTCCAACTCAAATTAATTTAGACGGGCTGAATTGATTCAGACGCCGATCTTTATTAGCTTTTATTCCAACCGAATTGAAGTTCGGCGTCTGAATCACCGCCAGTCCACAGCCGTTGTTCCCGGCTAACCAGGCATGAAGAATGGATGAGCCGATCCAATTCAATTAGCCATTCCGAGTTGATTCAGACGCCGTACTTCACATGAACTTGATTTATTGAATTCGATTCGGCTAATTTCCAGTACGGCGTATGAAGCGGGCTTTAATTTTTTCTTATGTAATTATTTCAGAATCAGACGAAAATCGCCCTACAATTGAGTATCAGCGAAGGTGTAGTACAGTGCAAAAATTTTTAAAAAAACAGCCATCCTAAGGGATTTTTAAAGACAGCACTGGATTGCCAATATCAAGATTAATGGATTAAATTAAATTCCTTCATTTTATTAAGCAACTCTCCAATTTTGACAACAAACATCTGCAACAAGCCATAACTTCTGCTAAAATTTAATTTAAGCTTTAATTTAAGATTTTCAATTTGTGGCCCTTGCAGCAAATACATGGCTGGCAAACTATCATAAATTGATTAATTTTCCAAGTTTTTTTGCCCAGAACAGCTGTAAAAATAAATTAATACAAACAGAATAAAATGATCACAACTCAATTTTTCTTAGCCAAAACTCTGAAGGTATTTCATTTCATTTTATTACTAAAAGAGATGGACTTCTACATCGAAAGAGGACTGTTAGGACGCTAGATTTTGATTTAGAGAAAAGATTTTGAATATCGCATATTCAATTATCACTACTATTTAATATTCTTATCGTTGTTGGTTCATGTTGAAATCGTGCAAGATTTTAAAGAGGAATTAGTGAAAAGATGTTAAATATTGTTAGTGATTGCTAATAGTAATGGTAATAATAATTAGTAGAGAGACATTGTGAAGTCGTGGATTGTATTTCAAGAGATATTGAGACATTATGATCTTTTCAGACAATTTTAAGTGAAGAACTGTACATAGGTCTTTTTTAAAATTATCATTATTATTATTATAATTATTATTATTGTGTTTTAAGCTTTTTTGCTTTTTTTTGTTCGTTTAGTTTTGTTTTTTGTTTATAAAATCAAGTTTTCTTTTGGCCGGGCGTAAACAGCTGGAGACAAACTAAAACGGATTATCTCGGCATGCAAGCGCTATGCTGTCTCAGAAGACTTGTATTTCAGTCACCTTAATTAAAACTGTGGAATAAGCAACACAGGAAATTTCCTTGAGCAAAATGAATTCCAGTCAGGATGTGCAATTGCTATGGCAAAGGACTTTTTTTGAAGGTTTTAAAGTAAGGAGTAATTATTTTATATCAAACTTTAAAGGGTGGATCTCCACTTTCTTTTAAGTTTTAGGTGCGTAAAGGTGACGTTACACCAGACGATTCGCAACGACGATTTTTAGCGTAACTAACGTTGCATCATTTTTGCGATATTGTTTCGAATGGTTGCAATGTTGTTCCAATATTTGAACGGTGTGTTGCACTAAAAACGTCGTTGCGTATCGTCCCGTGTAACATCACCTTAAGCAAGAAAATTTACACTTGTCAATAAGATAGAGACGATGTATGACGCGTCGCGTGTAAACGTAAAAGTTGAGCGATTTTCAACATTTACATATACGCTCAATCATTCATACTTTGCCTCCATTCTATTTAAG